TCCCTAGTTTCCACCTGCTGATGGGAAGTTCTGATGGCCGCTACCGTGTAGGTACTGTGGCTGCAAAGCCAGGGACATTTATCCCTGTGGACCAGAGGAGCCAGCCCTACTTGAACTTTTCAGCTAGCTGGCTGTCACAGAGGAACGCTCAATGGAACATTTTCCTGCTATGTAAGTCTTTCTGAAATATCCATTCATAAACAGTTCTTAGGGCACTGCCTTGTTTGCTGTTTTCAAACTGGAGTTGGTGTTTGTGATGGAATTTCTAGATTCTAACAGGTTGTCATGGCCTTTTTTGGTCTCCCTTTAGGGGCCCATCCAGGAATGTATAAGAAAGATGGGAGGCCAAGATTTGATCCAAATTTTCTGTCACTTGTAGTTCATTCATTCATTTATTTAACAAATGTTTATTGAGTGCTTATTCTAAGTCCTTATACTGGACACTGGAGATACTACATCAGATAAGACATAAATCCTGATTTTCTAGGGATTTTCCCAATTCAGTGTGAGATTTTGGCAAGTTAGCAGGCTGTTAATCAGAAATAAGTGATCATTGGAAGTGGAATGTCCCGAGACACCGATATTGTAGCTAAAAGGGGCTCCTCTCCTTGCTAGCCCGGGTCGCCTCTGCCCTGTTGCAGTGTTGCACTAGTTGTGCGTGTCTTTCCTCCTGTACTAGAAGGGCTTGGTCCCGAACCTCTGTGCCCTCTGTTATACTCGGGTCAGTGCCTAGAAAAGTAGCGGTTCCTAGAAAGGAGCAGTTGCTGAGTACTCCAAGGAAACAGTGTTGCCTCCGCATCACAGTGTTTGCTTTGCCCAGCAGAATACGGGCAAGACTTCTTACCTGTGCCTTCTGCATCCAAGATTTCAACCAAACAAGGATTGGAAACATTTGAAAAAAAAATTGCACCTGTATGGAATATGGTAACTTTTTTTCCTTCTCGTTATTCCCTGAATAATACAACCTCACAACTGTGTACAATAGCATTTACATTGTATTAGGTATTGTAAGTAAGAGTTCAGGTATAGGGAGAATGTGCAACACATGCAAATACGGCACCATTTGGTATCTGCAGAAAGTTCTGGAATCAATCCTGTATTACACAAGTGAGTCCCAGATTCCAATTTTAATATTGTAAGAAGCATATTATAATATCATAAAAGAGAAAAAAAAAACAGGTGATAAGACATATAATCCCACTGCCGTAAGTCATCCATTAGGGAACTGAGATTCATGGGTACGTGAGTCAAATGTGAGAGCTGTCATGAGTTCCTGCCGTGAGCAGGCACTGCTTTCAGCTGAGGCTGCTTCGTGGAAGACCCCAGACCTGGTCCCTCCCTTGATGCACCTCAGAGCCCGGGAGGAGATGGCAGAAAAAGGCATCCTGGAGTGCCACGTGCACTGTGTCCTGTCCCTGTGGGCCAGGCTGGCCGTGAGCTCCCAGAGTAGTTGCTTCCCCTGGCAGGGAGGAGGAGGAGCCTGTGGGGCAGCAGCATCCTGAGAGACAGGTGTCTAGTGTTGGAGCCACCTGCTTCCCGCTCCTTGGGCTTTGCTGCAGGACAGAGTCCTCACGTTGCCTTCGGGCGGGTTTGGAGTCCCGGAAGAACTGCCTTTCTGTGAAGCAGACACCAGCTTTGCTTTGCTTTACAACCTACCTGATAGGACTCCGTTTTGGTGCCTCCCAGGGGGAACGTGAAGGATAGGAGGCAGCCCTTCCGATTTCTTCCCTGCAGGTTTTTTACACAGACATCTGAATCCGAAGCACTAGTATAGTCCCTTCTGATGATAAGCTCCTGAGAGGTGCACCAGTCTCTTTGGAGTCAAATATAATTTATGCGCAAGCTGGGATTTGGTTCAACTATGAGCGACAGGAACCCAACATGATGGTGGTGGCTTAAACCAGACAGGAGTGTGTTTTTCTCTAACCCAACTGTAAGGTGTGGCATGGCAGCTCAGTGAATGGCAGAGATTCAGGGGTCTTGGTTCTCTCAATCTGTGCCTTGACCACAGGGTCCAAGATACCTGCTGTAGTTCCAGTAGTCACGGCCACGCTCTACACAGAGGAAAGCTTAGGGTGAACGAGCAAGCTTTCACCATGGGTGTTACACACCTAATCCTAACTTCACTTATATTCGCCTGGCCAGATCTTAGGTCTGTAGTGACGTAAGGACAAAGGTGGCTGGATTTGCAGTGTTTACTGTAATGACCATGTGTCTAGGCCGGCGCTGCGGCTCACTAGGCTAATCCTCTGCCTGCGGTGCCGGCACACCGGGTTCTAGTCCTGGTTGGGGCGCCGGATTCTGTCCCGGTTGCCCCTCTTCCAGGCCAGCTCTCTGCCCGGGAGTGCAGTGGAGGATGGCCCAAGTGCTTGGGCCCTGCACCCCATGGGAGACCAGGATAAGTACCTGGCTCCTGCCACCGCAGTGCGCCGGCCGTGGTGCGCCGGCCGTGGTGGCCATTGGAGGGTGAACCAACGGCAAAGGAAGACGTTTCTCTCTGTCTCTCTCTCTCACTGTCCACTCTGCCTGTCAAAAAAAAAAAAAAAAGTAACGGGACTTGTACTGCTGTTGCTGTTTTTGCTTTCAGAGGATTTTTCTGGAAGTCAGCTATCTATTACATGATATTAGACATAGTGTGTCATCTCTTAATGGCAAATAAAAGTTGAGATTCTTCCCTAAGAGGCAGTAGAAGAACAATATGCTAGTTCTTTGCATATATTTTGTACTTTGGAGAGTGGACTAGAATGTCACGTAGCAATCTGCACTTCAACTAGCACTGATATAGATGATTCTAGAACTGTGGCTTGAATTTAGGGCATTTTTCAAGGCCTTTTAACTACACTGCAGTTGGTTTTTCAATGCATTGGCTCAAATGAAACAAGAACAGAAGGATGACCAGGATGTAGGATCATTCTTACCCTCTTTCTGTGGAAGTTATCTCAATGTTCATTTTATGTAGATTTTTTTTATTTTGCAAAATGTGATAAAGACAAGTTTTGGAAACATTGAGTTTGAAATGCTTGTGAGGGGCTGATGCTGTGGAATAGTGGGCTAAGCTTCCGCCTCTGGCGCTGGCATCCCATATGAGCGCTGGTTCGAGTCCTGGCTGCTCCTCTTCTGATCCAGCTCTCTGCTGTGGCCTGGGAAAACAGTGGAAGATGGCCCAAGTGCTTGGGCCCCTGCACCCGTGTGGGAGGCCTGGAAGCTCCTGGCTTCAGATGGGCCTAGCTTCAGCCACTGTGGCGATTTGGGGAGTGAACCAGCGGATGGAAGGCCTCTCTGTCTCTCCCTCTCTTTATTGGTAACTCTGTCTCTCAGATAAATAAATAAAATCTTAAAAAAAAAGAAATGCTTGTGAAACTATAACGTATTTAGCCCAGTGCCTAATATATAATAAATGTTAATTATTATTACTGTTTTATTAGCACATAATAAATGTTATCATTCTTAATATTATTAGTCCTTTTTTTTTTTTTTAAAAAGATACATTTATTTATTTGAAAGGAAGAGTGGCAGAGAAAGAGAGAGAGATTGATCTCTGTCTGCTGGTTTACTCCCCAAATACCAGCAACAGCCAGTGTGGAGCCAGCTGACGCCAGGAGCCAGGCGCTCCATCCAGGGCTGCCATGTGGGGCAGGGATTCAAGTACCTGACCCATCATTCGCTGTTTCCCAGGCATGTTAGCAGAGAACTGGATCAGAAGTGGAGAGCCAGGACTCGAACTAGTACTCTGATAGGGGATGTGGGCCTCGTAAGCTGTGGCTTAACCCCCTGCACGACAGCACCTGCCCCTAAGCTTTTTAGGTTTATTGCCTAAACTACTAGCAAGCTGAGCATGTTTTCATATATTCTACAATTCTCACTTTATTTTATATCATTTGCAAGACCCTATCTATTTTGGGGAGAGGGCAAGGTTTTTGTTTTTGTTTTTGACAGGCAGAGTGGACAGTGAGAGAGAGAGACAGAGAGAGAGAGAGAAAGGTCTTTCTTTTCTGTGCCCCCCCCCACCCCACCATTGCAATGGCCACTGTGGCCGGCGCACCACGCTGATCTGAAGCCAGGAGCCAGGTGCTTCTCCTGGTCTCCCATGGGGTGCAGGGCCCAAGCACTTGGGCCATCCTCCACTGCACTCCCGGGCCATGGCAGAGAGCTGGCCTGGAAGAGGGGCAACCGGGACAGAATCCGACGCCCCGGCCGGGACTAGAACCCAGGGTGCCGGCGCCACAGGTGGAGGATTAGCCTATTGAGCCGCAGCGCCGGCCGAGGGCAAGGATCTTATTGGATATTCTTAAACCTTAAGATGAAGTACTCATAACACACCTTGTTTGATATTTCCACTGATTTTCCCTTAATCTTAATTTTTAAAAAAGATTTTATCTATTTATTTGAGGTAGAGTTACAGACAGAAGAGAGGGAAAGACACAGAGAGAGGGCTTCCATTCACTGGTTCACTCCCCAAATGGCCGCAATGGCCAGAGCTGGGCCAGGCTGAAGCCAGGAGCCAAGAGCTTCCTCCAGGTCTCCCACATGGGTGCAGGGGCCAAAGCACTTGGGCCATCTTCTGCTGTTTCCCAGGCACGATAGCAGGGAGCTGGATCAGAAGTAGAACAGCTGGGACTTGAACTGGTGCCCGTATGGGATGCCTGGGTCTCCAGCAGCAGCTATACCTGCTACACCATTATACTAGCCCCATTAAATTTTTTATTATATAAAATTTAAACATTGTAATTGATCTATCTTTTGTAGTTTCTTCTTTTGCATAAAATATGAATAATTTATTATACTCTTCCAGAGATTTTAAAGTTATTAAGTGGATCTTGGTTTGGTGTTTGGTTTTATTCATTAAGGTGAATAATTTTTTGTCTCCCTTCTTCTGTCCACAGCGTACCTAGTTATTAAAATCATTTTCCATTGTTTTGTGATAACTTATTTTTCCCACACTACTTCTGTTATGCAACAGTTCATTCAGTAATGAACTCTGATTTGGTCATTTCTTTGAGGCCACTGGAACAAGCAGTGTCCAGGAATTTTCATGTCTTGGGCGAGTCCAGGATTTACAAAGAAGCTTGGCAACCAATTCTGTGTCACAAGGTAATTGCGGGCAGTGCACAAGAGTTCAGTCTTACTTGAAAGCTATACATCTTATCTTAGTAAATAAAATAAAACTGGCTAATGATCACCAACCTTATTTTCTTTTCTTCAAGGGATGGGCTTGGAAAAGAAGAGGGGTTTCTCACAATAGCACCAAACAGCTCTCAAGCAACAAATGGGCTTATGTCAACCAACACAGCTATCCTCATCACACAAACACACCTTTCTCCATGCAGTCCTTTCATTTTACAATTGTTTTCACATCTGTAGCATTCTATGACACCATCCTAAAAATATATTTGTTTGTGTCCAAGTAGCTTAAAGGTGCTTTATTTCCCAGAAGGACCAGGAGCTGGTGTTCATCAAAGCGTGCAGGGCAGGTTGGTCTCAGAGGACAGGGAGCCTAGTGCTGATAATTTGTCAACTACAGTTCCAGCAATCTGTCCATAGAAGGTGGAGACCGAGTTGGGTGTGGAGCTGGGGGAAGGCTGGCCAGGTAGGTTCAGGTCCTCTGATCATCTAGGGAGGGTGAAGCCAGTGTGTAGGGACCGCGGTTGAGACCTATGCTTAGATGTTGGTCTGAATCGGCCATGGTGGACTGGCAGAGTCCACTTCCTGTTCCAGCCGACTGAAGCGTGGACAGCTGGCCCGGACGGCGTTCTGAGCTTACCTACTTGTCTCATGGTGGAACTGCCATGAGCTTGGGCAGCCATTGAGGCAAAAGTGCAGACAACCTAGTGGGCTGTACCCCTGTGCATGGATCTACGCCTTCCTCTGAGAGAACAGAGCCTTTGTGTGTTTGCAGTTCGGTTGGGGAGACAAGACCTACACAGAGGAAAATTTAACTAGCAGTAAAAATTCGTATATAAACAGGAGCTGAATGATGGAACAGTCACTGGGTGAGAGTTCAGAGGGCGTGGCTGGGGGAGGGGTCACTGTGGGTGGGAAGAATCAGGAGCCGCTTCCCAGGTGAGACTGGACACAGCTGGGACTTGAAGGATGGATGGGTGCAGATGTGGGAAACACGAAGAAGCGTTCAGACGAGGAAACCAAAGGAACTTGAAAGAACTGAATGTGCTCAGGGGACAGCGATTAGATTAGAGAGGTTGTGGAGAGAAAGTTGGAAGGGGGAACTGAGTCTGGTGAAAAAGGCCTTGAACGCCAGGCTTTTTCCTGAATAACAAAGGAGAACTAAGTTCATTCACTTACGCATCTTACTTAACCACTCTTGGAATTGGAATGCCGGATGCCATCGTCTGTTGCCCATACATTGGGCTTTTGCCCTTGTATTCTTCTTGAGTTCATTTGGACTTCTGTGTGCATAAGAGAGGAAGTGCATGGGATTTTCAGGGCAATGGAAGTGCCTGGTGTGACCCTGGAGTGGAGGATGTGTGTCATTGTGCATTTGTCCAGACCACCAGAATTTGCAACACGGAGAGGGAACCTGGACACACACGATGAGCTTTGGGTGATAGGATGTGCTGGTGCAGCTCACCTGCACCACACTGCTGGGGGCTGTTGACAGTGGAGGGGGTAAGGGGTCTGTGAGAAATCTCTGTGCCTTTCGCTCAGTTTTGCTATGAACCTAAAACTACTCCCCAAAAAGAAAGTCTACTGAAGAAATGATAAGGGGAAGTGGTATTTCAGCACAGCAAATTAAGCGGCCTGTGACACTGGCATCCCAGATCGGAACACTGATTGGAGTCCCTGCTGCTCTGCTTCTGATTCAGTTTCTTGCTAATGCACCTGGGAAAGCAGCAGTAGTTGGCCCAAGTACTTGGACCCCTGTCACCCACATGGGAGACCTGGATGGAGTTCCTGGCTCCTGGCTTCAGCCTGACATAGCCCAAACCATCTCAGCCACTTGAGGAGTGGATCAGTGGATGGAAGATCTCTCTCTCAGTCTCTGCTACTCTCTCTCTAACTATGATTTTCAAGTAAATAAGTAAATCTTTAAAAAAAATTCTACCAAAAAATTGTGATAAGAAGACACTAGAGAACGATAGACTCCTATAGGTATCTTTCTTTTACAAATTTAAATTGAAACAATCAAAGTGAAAATCTTTTTTTGGTTAATTAATTTTTTAAGGAATACAAATTTCATAAATACAACTTTAGAAATAAAGTTATTCTTCCCACCATACCTGCCTTCCACCCACACTCCCACCCCTCCACCTCCTCCCTCTCCCCTTCTCAGTTCCATTCTCCATTAAGATTCATTTTCAATTAACTTTGTACACAGAAGACCAACTCTATATTAAGTAAAGGTTTCAACAATTTGCACACACACACACACACACACAACTGTTTGAGAACAAGTTTTACAGTTAACTTTCATAATACAACTCATTGAGGGCAGAGGTCCTGCATGGGGAGTTAGTGCACAGTGATTCCTGTTGTTAATTTAGCTATTAACACTCTTATGTATGACATCAGTGACCACCTGAGACTCTTGACATGAGCTGCCTAGGCTATGGAAGTCTTTTGAATCCACAGACTCTGTCAGTGTTTAGATAAGGCCATAAGCAAAGTGGAAGTTCTCTCCTCCCTTTAGAGAAAAGTACATCCTTTTTTTTTTTTTTAAGATTTATTTCTTTATTTGAAAGTCAGAGTTAGAAAGAGAGAGAGAGGTCTTCCATCTGCTGGTTCACTCCCCAGATGGCTGCAACAGCCATAGCTACATTGACCCAAAGTCAGGAGCCAGGAGATTCTTCTGGATCTCCCACGTGGGAGCAGTGGCCCAATACTAAGGCCATCTTCTACTGCTTTCTCAGGCCATAGCAGGGAGCTGGATCAGAAGTAGAGCAGCTGAGACCTGAACTGGTGCCCATATGGAATGCTGGCACCGCAGGCGGTGGCTTTACCTGCTACACCACAGCACTGGCCCCAGTACATCCTTCTTTTATGCCCACTTCTTCCCCTGGGATCTCACAGAGATCCTTCATGTAGAACAATTTTTGCCACAGTGTTTTGGCTTTCCATGCCTGAGATGTTCTCACAGGCTTTTCAGCCAGACCAGGAAGCCTTAAGGGCTGATTATGAGGTCAGAGTGTTACTTAAAGTGATGAGTCTGCTGTGTGGACTGCTTCCCATGTTGGATATTCTCTCCTTTTTAATTCCATCTATTATTATTACAAGACACTTGATTCTATTTATATGATCACTTTAACACTTAATCCCATCTGTATGGTCACTTTAAGACTTCACAAGACTTCACATGATCACTTTAACAATTAAGATATCATTTTTACCACTCAGCTTAATGGGATTTGGGGTCCCATGACAAGTTTTTAAACCATACCCTTAGAAGTAAGTCTGTAGTGAAAATCTTTTAAAAGATTTATTATTTATTTGAAAACCAGAGCTACAGAGAGGGGGAGAGACACACAGAGAGAGGTCTTCCATCTGCTAGTTCACACCCCAGATGGCTGCAATGGACAGGGCTGAGCCAGGCTGAAGCCAGGAGCCTGGAGCTTTATCCTGGTCTTCCAGGTGGGTGGCAGGGGCCCAAGCACTTGGATCATCTTCTGCTGCTTTCCCAGGCCATTAGCAGGGAACTGGATTGGAAGTGGAACAACTGGGACTCAAACCTCCACCCATTTGGGATGACTGTGTCACAGACAGTGGCTTTACCTGCTATGCCACAGTGCTGGCACCCCAAAGTGAAATTTTAGAAATGCATACCTCACAAGCTAAGCTTCCACTTGGGGCAACAACATCTAACTTTGGAAGTGAAGCAACCAGGACTCAAACCCTGTCCAGTTCCCTGCTAATGTGCCTGGGCAGGCAGCAAATGGTAGCTCAAGTACTTGGTCCCTGCTACCTACATGGGAGACCCCGATGGAGTTCTTGGCTCCTGCTTTGAGCTTGACCCAGCCCTGACTATTGCGTGTATTTGAGGATGAGCCAGGGGATGGAAAATGTCTCTGTCTGTCTGTCACTCTGCCTTTCACATCAATCAATCAATCTTTTAAAACATGATGGATCTCTCAGTCACCACGTCTGATTTGTCAGCCAGTCACATATGAGGGGACTTCAAAAAGTCCCTGGAAAAATAGTCCTCAGGATGTTTATTTTGGTGTAAAATATTTTTGAAATTTGTGTGTAGTTTTTTCATAACACATTTTCCTTGGTGTATCTGGATTTCAAAAAAATTTTTTAAAGATTTATTTATTTATTTGAAAGAGTGACAGGGAGGGAGAGACACACACACATACATACATAGATTGAGAGAGAGAAAGAGGAGGAGGAGGTGGAGGAGGAGGGGAGAGAGAGAGAGAGATCAGTCTTCCATCCTCTGGTTCACTTCCCAAATGACTGCAACAGCCAGGCTGGGTCAGACCAGAGCCAGGAGCCGGGAACTCCATCCAGGTCTCTCCACGTGGGTGATCCAAGTGTTTGGGTCATCCTCTGCTGTCCTCCGGCACATTAGCAGGGAGCTGGGTTGGAGGCGGGGAGCAGCTGGGACTTGAACTGGTGCTGTGATATGGGATGCCTGTATCACCGGCCGCAGCTTAACCCACCGCGCCATGGGGTCTGCCCCGGGATTTCAAAGTTTCTTGTGCACCAAAACAAACTTCTCTTTTAGTTCCATTTCCCAGGAACTTTTTGAAGTATCCGTGTATGTGTCAGTGTTCTCCTCCACAAGGCAAGTTTCGCACGTATAGTCCCTGACACAGTGGGCAGTTCCAGATGTGGGACACTTGGCAAGACGACGCAGAAGTTCCTAGAAACCCGACAGCTGGATGTGCAGGGCCACAGGCAGGCAGCAGGGTTGCGTCATTCAGGGCGATTTTCCGGGTTTGTTTCTGGTTCGTCTCAGCTCTGTCCCTGGTTGAGAAAATTCGGACACGCAGTTCAGGGAGCTAAGTGGTTGGTAACGAGAGCTAAGAAGTGGCAAAGGACGAAATCCATTTATTTTGTCTATCTGTTCTGCATCCACAGATTCCCTCGTCTCATGTTTCTGGTAAACATTTGGACATTGTGTTGAATTTTCTCGAATTTCTTCCATCTGGAAAAGTAGAGCATTTTACGAGACAACCGCAACCACCTTGTCTACCTTCAAACGCTGAACGTCGGACTGCTGCTCACAGGAAAAAAGCATAGCACATCCATCCACAGTGAGCTATGCAGGTTTTCTACTTTGAAAGAACATTAGAAATAAAATAAATAAAAGAGTGGGAATGGAATGAAATACGAGGAGAAATGGCTGAATCTGTCACCAGCTGTCAAAATTATTTTTGCTGTTTATAGAGTCCCGGTCCTCCAGGGAGTGCCCCACAGTCGTGCAGTGCACACAGCCAGGTGCTGCCAGCCACGGGTGCTGCCAGCCAGCGCTCTGCTCTGCCTGGGGGCCGCGGACCGGCACAGGCTGCTGAGGCCCCGCTCCAGGCCACTCTGCAGCTTGGCATCTGGGTTCAGATGTATCCCCTGAGGCCGTTGAACTTGGAGTCTAGAGTGCCGTTTTTGGATCCAATGCCAGTAGTGTGCATCTAAGACGCCAGAACTTGATCAAGAGCGGAGTCCTTTCAAAAGGAAATGTGGCGCCAGCGCCGTGGCTCACTTGATTAATCCTCCGCCTGTGGCACCGGCATCTCATATAAGTGCTGGGTTCTAGTCCCGGTTGCTCCTCTTCCAGTCCAGCTCTCTGCTGTGGCCTGGGAGTGCAGCCTGGCTCCTGGCTGCAAATCGGCGCAGCGCTGGCCGTGACGGCCATCTGGGGAGTGAACCAATGGAAGGAAGACCTTTCTCTCTCTCTCTCTCTCTCTCTCTCTCTCACTGTCTATAACTCTACCTGTCAAATAAATAAAATTGTAAAAAAAAAAAAAAAAAAAGGAGATGTGGCTTCCAGGGTTCCAGGGGAGTGACGCACCTCACATTCGCGTGTGTGTTATACACCTTTCTTTATTATTTTTTTTAAAAAAGATTTATTTGTTTATTTGAAAGGCAGAGATACAGACAGAGAGAGGGAGACACAGAGAAAGAGAGGCCTTCCATCTGCTGGTTCACTTCCCAAATGGCTGTAATGACCAGGGCTGGGCCAGGCTAAAGCAAAGAGCCAGGAACTTCTTCTGGGTCTCCCATGTGGATGCAGGGACCCAAGCACTTGGGCCATCTCCCACTGCTTTTCCAGGAGATTTAATAGGGAGCTGGATCAGAGGTGGAGCAGCCGGGACGCTAACTGGCGCCCATATGGGATGCCAGCATTGTAGGCTGTGTTTAACCCGCTGTGCCACAATGCCGGCCCTGTTGTACACCTTTTTTTTAAGAATGAGTGCCCTTTCAGGGAAACTTAAATGGATTCTGAAAGGGTTAGTTAATTTTTACATTGGTGGTGGTATTTTCTCCTTCTTGCTTTTTATTTTTGCCTGCTTTCAATATACACTTTCCCTTGTAATGCAATGTTACAACATTACCACAGGATTATAGACAGAAAACATTTTTAAAAAGTATTTATATAAAAATACACTCATGAGCTTTCAAAACAATCACTCTGTTTTTATTTTATTTATTTATTTGAAAGGCAGAGAGAGAGATCTTCTGTGTGCTGGTTCACTCCCCAAATGCCCACAACAGCCAAGGCCGAGCCAGGCCAAAGCTAGCAGCCTGGAACTCAGTCCAGGTCTCCTACAAGGGGCAGAGACCCGAGCACTTGAGCATCACCTGCTGCCCCCCAGTCTCTGCATTAGTGGGAAGCTGGAATCAGCAGCGGAGTTGGGACTCAGCCCAAGCATTCGGGTGGGGAATGCAGGTTTCCCAACTGTTGCACCAAAGACTCATGCAGAAAAAGTCTAAAAAGGGGGGTTAGCATTATGGGGCAGGGGGTTAAGCCTCTGCTTACAGTGCTAGCATCCCTTACTGGAGTGCTGATTCAAATACTGACTGCTCCACTTCTGATCCAGCTCCCTACTAATGCACCTGAGAAAGCCGCAGGAGATGAGCCAAGTGCCTGGACCCCTGCCGTCCATGGGGGAGACGGAGTTCCGGGCTCCTTGCGTTGGCCTGACCCAGTCCAGGCTGTTGGGGAGTTTTGAGCAGTAAAGCAGTGAATGGAAGATCTCTCTTCTGTCTCTCCCTGTCCCTCTCTCTCTAACTATGCCTTTCAAATGAATACAAACATCTTTAAAACAATTTTTTTAAAAAAGGACAGGGGCCATCGCTGTGGCACAGCAGGTTAATGCCCTGGCCTGAAGCGTGGCATCGCATATGGGCGCCGGTTCTAGTCCTGGCTGCTCCACTTCCGATCCAGCTCTCTGCTGTGGCCTGGGAAAGCAGTTGAAGATGGCACAAGTCCTTGGGCTCCTGTACCCATGTGGGAGACCCGGAAGAAGCTCCTGGCTCCTGGCTTTGGATTGGTGCAGTTCCGGCCATTGCGGCCAATTGAGGAGTAAACCAGTGGATGAAGACCTCTCTCTCTCTCTCTCTCTCTCTCTCTCTCTCTCTCTGCCTCTCCTCTCTCTGTGTAACTCTGACTCTCAAGTAAAAAATAAATAAATTTTTTTAAAAAATATTTTAAAAAAGACAAAACATTGTTTAAAATTGTGATCCCACCATCAAGGAAAACCCCTGCATAATTTGGGTGTTTTTTCTTTTCATTCTTTTTCTTATTAAGTATGTATCTATAGATTTATTTATTTGAAAGTCAGAGTTACAGAGAAAGACAAATCTTCCATACGCTGGTTCACTCCCTAGATGGCCACAACGGCCAGGGCCTAGCCAAGCCAAAGCCAGGAACTTCATTTGGGTCTCCCACATGGATGGCAGGGGCCCAAACTCTTGGGCCATCCTCTGCTGCTTTTCCCAGGCCACTTTCAGGGAGCTGGATTGGAAGTGGAACAGCTGGGACACGAACCAGCACCCACATGTCCCCTAGATACATATCTGATAAACAAAATCTTGTCGCTTCCTTTTTTCTCCTTGATGTTTTACCAGGAGTATTTTCTTATAGAATGTTCTTTGTAAACATGATTTTATGATGGCTGCTTAGTATTCTACCCTGTCACCTTGGCACTGATTTTGAAAGATTTATTAGAAAAGCATTTTGGTGATTTTTTTTGCTATTATCAATAAGGCTAACATGACTAATATTATACGTGTTTTCAACTGTTGCACAGAAAGAAAGATATTTAAACTGAAATGTTTTCTGTTCGAGCAGGCATTCAGCCTAGCTGTTAGACACCCACAGTCCACACTGGAGTGCCTGGGTTTGATTTTGGCTTCTGGATTCTGACTCCAGCTTCCTGCTGATGCAGGCCCTGAGAGGCAGGGGTGATGGCTCAGGGGATGAGGTTCCTGACACCCACGTGGGAGACCTGGATTGAGTTTCTGGTTCCAGGCTTAGCCCTGGTGAGCCAGCAGACAGAAGCTCTTTACCTCTCTCTCAAATAATTAAACATTAAAATCAAAATAATTAGAGGGACGGTATGGGGGGGAAGCCATTGTAATCCATAAATCGTACTTTGGAAATTTATATTCATTAAATAAAAGTTAAAAAAAAAACTCAAAAAAAATCAAAATAATTAAAAAATTAACATCTTCCCCCATCATGGTATTTGAAATTGGGGCCAGTGTCGTGGTGCAGCAGGCTAAGCTGCCACTTGGAACACCAGCATGGAGCATCAGAGTGTGGGTTTGAGTTCCTGCTGCTCCACTTCTGATCCGGCTTGCACATGGGAAGGCAGCAGAAGATGGCCCAAGTGCTTGGGCCCCTGCCACCTACGTCGGAGACCAGGATGGGGTTCCAGGCTCCTGGCTTCTGCCTGGTCCAGACCTGGCTGTTGCAGACATTTGGAGAGTGAACCACAGATGGAAGATACCTCTCTCTCTCTGTCCCTCTCTTGCTTTGCCTTTCAAATAAATATGTCTTTCAAAATTTATTTAAAATAAAACTTTGTAATATATAAAAATTCAAATAAAATGGTAGAGCCTAATACATTTATGCCTTAGATGCTCATCATCCAGTTTCTACAGTTTTTTACAAATATTGTTATCTTTTCACATTTATGATTGGTTTTTAAATTTTTTTAAAGATTTATTTATTAGGAAAGAGTTACACAGAGAAGGAGAGGCAGAGAGAGAGAGAGAGAGAGAGAGGTTTTCTATCCACTGGTTCACCCCCCACTTGGCCGATCCGAAGCCAGGAGCTTCTTCTGGGTCTCCCACGTGGGTGCAGCGTCCCAAGGACTTGGGCCATCTTCCATTGCTTTCCCAGGCCACAGCAGAGAACTGGACTGAAGAAAGAGTAGCTGGGTTTCCTTATGGGATGCCGGCACTGCACTTTACCTGCTACGCCACAGCACCGGCCCCGATTTGTATTTCTTTAATTGCCAAGAGCTTCAAAGTATTTTCAGATTTTGTTTGCACCATGTATTCATTTTTTGATACATGCATATTCCTTGCTCATTTTCATTTTTTTAAAATTTCTATTTATTTGCAAGACGGAAAAAGAGAGACTGATTCACTCCTCAAATGCCTGCAACAGCCAGGTCTTTTCCTATTAAGGAGCTCTTTAAAGAAAAGGATATATTAGCTCCTGTGTCATAAAAGTATTTCCTGCAGTTTTTTTTTTTTTGGCCTTTTTTTCTAACCTAGGAGTAAAGCGATTTTAATTGTTAAGTAGACAAACTGACGTATCATAACATTTGATAACTTTATTTTTTTAAGGCTTAGATCGGCTTTGCCCAGTCCAGGGCCGGAAAAACCCTGTCCGCAGAGGCCACGATGGCAGGGTGACTGGGCAGGTGCACCTTGGAGCGCACACCCGCCCTGGCGTGAGGGCCCGGGGTGAGCTGGGAGCAAGCGTGTTCTCACCGTGTTGCAGTTTCTTCTTCCGCAAAGTGGAAGTGACTACGTTATTACCTAAAGTTCCAGAGGCTGGCGTCGGGATCACGTGACTTCCCCTAGGCCAGAGATTCCGGCACAGGCAGTCCAGCGCAAAAAAATGTTGGCTGCCGGGGTGGGGGTGGCAGTGGGGGTGGGTGGCTGGCTCCGTGGCTCACTTGGTTAATCCTCCGCCTGCAGCACTAGCATGCCATGTGGGCGCCGGGTTCTAGTCCCGGTTGCTCCTCTTCCAGTCCAGCTCTCTGCTGTGGCCCGGAAGCCAGTGGAGGATGGGCCAAGT